CTGACAATCCCCATCTTGTCAATAAAACAAAACTAAGAAACAGAGGGCTTTCCGCTGTCGGTTAAAAAATTAAATAAGTGGAAGGGGTTCTAACATAAACTTGACACTGTGAAAAGAGAACAAGGGAAGCTTTTAACTCTCTTCTGGGAATAGGCAAAAGGGAAATCTTGACCACTTTCTGCATGACCCCCAAAAGAGAATCTTCAGGGATTATGGGACACAGGGCCCATTCATCCCCCAAAGACTGGAATTCCAAAGGGCGATTAATTATATCAAAGATGAGGGGGGAAAGAAGAGAAAGAGTCTAAGTCACTGAAGAAAGAAACATGGGATTTTCTATTGGAAGCTCCTAGTGTGACAAAAAGGTCACCGCTCTGACAAAAAACACACCACTCCCATCTAACTTCTCCTTTTTTAATTAACATTAAGAAAAGGGAGGGTTTTTCTCAAGACCTTTGCCGCATGGTATTGTTATTTTTTTTCAGGCGTGACTTAGAGTAAACTGAGATCCGTTCTCATAGGCCGGGCAGAAGTTTGCTTCCAAAAATATAGCACGGAGAAGACATCCAAGGATTCTTTTCTTAGAAAATACCCTTTCCCCTCTTATTATGAACAGAAATCAGGGATCCACAGAAAACCGGACAAGCCAAGAATGCGAGAAGGTGCTTTATAGCAGGGGTCTTCAAACGTGGCCCTTTTATGACTTGTGGACTTCAACTCCCAGAATTCCTCAGCCAGGCACACGTGGAATTCTGGGAGTTGAAGTCCATAAGTCATAAAAGGGCCACGTTTGAAGACCCCTGTGTTTATCTGGCCCAGCATGATCAGCCATGAATAGTAGACATTCTTGAGAGTTTCAGACTCATCTCCCAGCCCCATCTGAAGACACCCCCCCCCCAGGATGGACCGTGGAATCCTTTGCCTGCAAAACATGTACTCAGCTATTTTCTAAAGAGCTATTTGCAACCGTAAAGCAAAAGGTCTCCAAAAATGTCCTACCGTTGCTACAGTGTCAGAGAAATCTGCTGTTCAAAGGGGGAGGGGGGGAGAAAAACATCTAAATTCCATTGGATTTTCTCAAGGTCTCCAACNTCTTCTTCTTCTTCTTCTTCTTCTTCTTCTTCTTCTTCTTCTTCTTCTTCTTCTTCTTCTTCTTCTTCTTCTTCTTCTTCTTCTTCTTCTTCTTCTTCTTCTTCTTCTTCTTCCTTCCTTCCTTCCTTCCTTCCTTCCTTCCTCCTCATCCTTCTCCTCCTCCTCCATCTGATGGAATAAACCTAAAGGCTCCCTAAGTCACTGGAAGTACACTGAGAACTGACAATCCCCATCTTGTCAATAAAACAAAACTAAGAAACAGAGGGCTTTCCGCTGTCGGTTAAAAAATTAAATAAGTGGAAGGGGTTCTAACATAAACTTGACACTGTGAAAAGAGAACAAGGGACGCTTTTAGCTCTCTTCTGGGAATAGGCAAAAGGGAAATCTTGACCACTTTCTGCATGACCCCCAAAAGAGAATCTTCAGGGATTATGGGACACAGGGCCCATTCATCCCCCAAAGACTGGAATTCCAAAGGGCGATTAATTATATCAAAGATGAGGGGGGAAAGGAGAGAAAGAGTCTAAGTCACTGAAGAAAGAAACATGGGATTTTCTATTGGAAGCTCCTAGTGTGACAAAAAGGTCACCGCTCTGACAAAAACCACACCACTCCCATCTAACTTCTCCTTTTTTAATTAACATTAAGAAAAGGGAGGGTTTTTCTCAAGACCTTTGCCGCATGGTATTGTTATTTTTTTTCAGGCGTGACTTAGAGTAAACTGAGATCCGTTCTCATAGGCCGGGCAAAAGTTTGCTTCCAAAAATATAGCACGGAGAAGACATCCAAGGATTCTTTTCTTAGAAAATACCCTTTCCCCTCTTATTATGAACAGAAATCAGGGATCCACAGAAAACCGGACAAGCCAAGAATGCGAGAAGGTGCTTTATAGCAGGGGTCTTCAAACGTGGCCCTTTTATGACTTGTGGACTTCAACTCCCAGAATTCCTCAGCCAGGCACGCGTGGAATTCTGGGAGTTGAAGTCCATAAGTCATAAAAGGGCCACGTTTGAAGACCCCTGTGTTTATCTGGCCCAGCATGATCAGCCATGAATAGTAGACATTCTTGAGAGTTTCAGACTCATCTCCCAGCCCCATCTGAAGACACACACCCCCCAGGATGGACCGTGGAATCCTTTGCCTGCAAAACATGTACTCAGCTATTTTCTAAAGAGCTATTTGCAACCGTAAAGCAAAAGGTCTCCAAAAATGTCCTACCGTTGCTACAGTGTCAGAGAAATCTGCTGTTCAAAGGGGGAGGGGGGGAGAAAAACATCTAAATTCCATTGGATTTTCTCAAGGTCTCCAACCAGCTTGGTTAAAAATGGCCCTTCCCCTTTACAGCTCTCCTCTTTAAAGCTAGAAGTGTCTGGGAATGCTTAGACAGACCGAGACATAGAAGCTGCCAATCAATTAATTAGTGGGGTGGCTTTTTTCAGCCTCTGCTATCCAGACTGAGTGGAGAAGCTCAGGCAGAGCGGAGGGAGGAATCAAGCAAGGAATCAGCCTGGAATCCTTAGGTTGACACAAGCTGTCTCTAAGTCCAATTACTCTTGAATTCCGTTAACTCTTCTCTAGTACCCATTTAGTGCTGACTAGATTCTTGGGTATAGGCGTGAACAATAAATCAGCTTAACTGCATACTGAACGCAGGTAGTCCTCAGCTTACAACAGTTCATTTAGTGACCGTTCCAAGTTACAACGGCACTGAAAAAAGTGACTTGTGGCCATTTTTTCACACTTACGACCATCGCAACATCTCCACAGTCACATGATCCAAATTCAGGCGCTCGACAACTGACTCCTATTTGCGACGGTCTCAGCGTCCTGGGGCCATGTGACCCCCTTTTGCGACCTTCTGACAAGCAAAGTCCATGGGGGAAGCTGAAGAACCGTGTGACTAATTTAACAACCGCTGGGATTCACTATGGCAAGAAAAGTCATAAAATGCAGCAAAATTCACTTGGCTGTCTCGCTTAAGAACAGAACTGTTGGGCTCAATTGTGGTCGTATGTTGAGGGCTATCTGTATAGCCCAGGGGTAGGCAACCTTGGCTCTTTTATGACTCGTGGACTTCAACTCCCAGAATTCCTGAGCCAGCCACGCTGAGGGGAAAGGGAGAGGTTTCCAAGCTGAGCCATGCTGGCTCAGGAATTCTGGGAGTTGAAGTCCACGAGTCATAAAAGAGCCCAGGTTGCCTACCCCTGGTCTAGCCTATCAGGAATTATTATAATCTCTCAGGAATGTTTTGACTGTATATATAGGTAGTTCTCGAGTTACAATCATTCGTTTCGCAACCGTTCGAACTTACAATAGTACGGAGAGAAGCGCCTACAACCGGTCCTTGCACTTACGACAGTTGTAGCATTTCCCCATGATCAAAATCCCTTTCTCCAAGAAGGTTTAGCCTCACACTGAGTGATGCCATTCATTTTCTAAATCCCATCTCCGGTATATTTACCGCCCACCCCGATCCTGATCAATAATCCAAAGTGTGATATTTCCCCAATCCAAAGCCCAATTTAGCCTAGATAATATTTAAATCAGGAAAGCTGGCTGAGCAGGGATTTGATTTTATTTATTTTTAACATTCAAGATGTCCCCTAAGTCATGTTATCATTTCACAGCAAGGCTGTGGGAGTCTGTAAGAAGAACTTAGTCAAGCGTCTTCTCGTGCTGTTTAACCTTCCTACGCATCCAGGGTTATAACTAACTCCAGGAGGTGCAAAGCACCACCTTAAACACACATAACACACAGAGGGATGCGTGCACAATTAACCTGCACAATCTAATTCTTCACTTATTCCCAGAAACGACCATCCAAAAGGGATTGAGCCTTCTTCAGGCTGCTGTCCAAATGCTTTTATTTGAATTCCACCCAGAAAAATGACAGCGGCAGCTGGGTCCCTACCATCAGGAACTGCCAGGAAAAGAAAGCAAAGATTCTCAAAAAGAATTTGCAATGCGGTTGACCTCAAGGAAGTAAGCGCTGGCCACTCGAGTACACAATAGCTACCTTATCTCACTCCCAGGTTGTGTGTTTAAGGTGTTTCCTGTTTAGCCTTCTGCTTGTGTTCACCCATTGGAAAGGGCTAGCACAGAAAAGGAGAAAGTGCATGGGTTATGAAGCCATGGCACCTAGAAACCAGGACTGGGAGGGGGGACCCCAAAAGATTGCACCCCAGCAAAAGTTGCCTGTAAAATTGCCATTTTTAAAAAAAACACGTCAGATGGAACAATTTGCATTTGTGGATTGAAAAGGTGCGGTTTCACTGGGGTTCGATGGAGTGATAGGTCACTCAGCTGCGGTCAGACAGGAGAGCAACCAAATCCACTTACGAAAGGTCTAAGTCAGCAACTTCATTGTTTTTCTACCTATATTACAAGAATCTTCCCTGACTGCTTGCTTTTCCCTGGAAACAACCAGATAAGGTTTCTGGGTTGTGGATGGTTCCCCAAGCTTGTTTCAATATCATTTCTGAACATTTTGTTACCAAACTAGGTAACTTCATTAGCAGTCCTATTCTCCTTAGCTTATAAATGTCTTGTGTGCCAGTGGGGTCAGCTGGCCGTGCGATTGGTTGTTTGTTTGGAGCTACATTTGAATTCTGAGCAGCTGGTTGGTTCTCTTGTTGATTGGCAGTTCGAATATTTGAACGAGATAAGGTGTCCTGGAATTTGGAGGGGACAATCAGGCTTATGCTACTTGCAGCTGTGCAAGGATTCAAAGCTAGTTCCCTGCTTGACCCCCTCCTTCCTGCCTAGCTGGGAGTTTCCTAACAGCTGCCCAGGTTGAAAATGTGAAGGGTTTGCTATCCTGGATGGAGTTCAGGCTACGTTTTGGAGGAGAGCAAGCTCAGATGTGGGATACTCAGCCCCTACCAAAATGGCCTTCTGCTTCTCCTCACCTTGACATTTCTGTGGTGTATCCGCGAGGGTTGGCACTTCACACTGCTGGTGTTGCAGCATCCGGTGCATCGCTTCACTTCCACGCAGGGAGGCCATATCAGAAAGTTTGCCGAAGTCGGATCGATTTGGCTCCGAGGAATCTCGTAAATGACCGTCCGCGTCTTGCAGACCGCAGGAATGGCTTCCTCTGTAGAAAAAAATGAGACACACGATAGAAAGGTGCAGCTGGGGACTCGAGAACAGAATACTTGCTCTGCATACAGAACGCCCTGGGTTCGATCCTGCCATCTCTGGGTTCATTTGCCCCCAAAACTGGCAAGAGTGCTCGAAGAAAGACAGGGAAAATTCAGACAATCAGATAACTATTTGGTACCGAGTGCCCACGTTCCTATTTTATCGATTTGTGCCAGGTACAAAGAATCGGGGCCCTATATGAAGTTGCAGCTCACAATATTTATTGCTCATGCAAGAATCTGATCAACTACAGTTCAACACTAAATTGGCACCAGATAAAGGTCAACTGAATTCAGGAGGTGATTGGAATTGGATCACTTGTGGCAACATAAGGACTCTCGGCTAATGATTCGTTTAACTCCACCACCCAGCTCTGCCTGTTCTTCTCTTACATTTGATTCAGGAAACTTCGGTCCTGTTCCATCCTCCATAGTTTTAGCCTGCCTCACAAAATACGGTAAGAATAATATTTCAACTTGTATGAGTAGCAGTGAAAGGTCTGGAAATATATATATTTATAGTAATTTCCCTTCGTATTACAGCCAACTACTACGCTGTTACTTTCTGTTACTCCTTTTTTCCCCCAACTCTGATGGCCATTTATTCCTTGAGATGAGATCCTCATCATACTTATTCCTGTATATTTTGGCAGTGAATGTATTTGACATAAATAGGTGGCTGAACCAGTTCCTAAAATCGTGGAAGATGTTGGCTTTGGGCTGGAAAGAACCAAATTCAGGTTTCCGCTTGATCATCAAAGATGCTCTCACTCAGTCCAGTTCATCCCATGGGATTGTTTTGAAGGTAAACCTAGAGGACAATCTAATGGATGTCCTAGGGCTCTACAGAAGAAGGAAGGTATATAAAGGCTACTCCTTTTCCTTCTCTTAATCGTCTAACAAAATAACAGAGTTGGAAGGGACCTTGGAGGTCATCTAGTCCAACCCCCTGCTCAGGAAGGAAACCTTATACCATTTCAGACAAATGGTTGTCCAGTCTCTTCTTAAAAATTTCCAGTGTTGGAGCATTCGCAACTTCTGGAGGCAGGTTGTTCCACTGGTTAATTGTTCCCACTGTCAGGAAGTTTCTCCTTAGTTCCAGGTTGCTTCTCTCCTTGATTAGTTTACATCCGTTGCTTCTTGTCCTGCCTTCTTCTGGGGCTTTGGAGAATAGCTTGACTCCCTCTTCTTTGGGGCAGCCCCTGAGATATTGGAACACTGTTATCCTGTCACCCCTTGCCCTTATTTTCATTAAATTAGATCTATTCTCTTTCTCCTTGTAAGGTCGTAATATTGGATGAGACTCCCTCAACAATTGCCTTGTTTAGCAATGGACATCCTGGTCCAATTGTGGTTGAAAATTGAGGACTGCTTGTAGTATCTACACCATCTCAACATTCTGCTTGAGAAGAAGGCAAGCACAGAACCGAGGCAGAGGTCCAACAGGTAGGCTCCCCCAAGGATGAAGAATTATGGAGCGCACACTGTTCTTAGAGGGAGCTGAGATCCCAACACATCTAACCCAGAGAAGCAAAAAAACTGAGCCAGGAGTTACACAAAAGGTCAACAAACAATCTCTCTTGCAAGAGGCAAGCCTTGTTATTTCATTCAGTTTTTAGAGAACCCCAGTTAGTTGCAAATCAGTGAACTAAAACAACTATCAAGCACCACATTCCCTCACTCAGATTTCACCAGGAGCGTGCAGGAACATGAAAACTGAATGTCAGGCATTTTTTCAGCATATTATAACCCTGGAAGATGACCGAGCTATTGGGGGAGAAAAAAAACACAATGGCATGCAATCTCTTTTCTGTTTATTTGCAAAATATTTTCCTCTCTTTTAGGCTTTTTTTAATTATTATTTCAATTCTACGCCAGCCACAAAGTCCTTCCAAAGATTATTCCCTGCCGTGGTGCATTTAAAAAAAATAAAATCTCGATTCTTACCAACACTTCTTTTTCTGCGAATAGATCTAGGGTGGTTTTCTTGCAACAGCTTAGCTGAGTGGATCGGGTGGGAGATCAGATTTGTTTCTGCTGCATCGTCATAGCCTAAGAAACGAAGAAGAAGAAAAAACAGACGCCAAACTTTCAGGATTTCAGATTAAAGATTGCTTTCTTTGGTTACTCAAAAAAAGTGACATTTAACCAACATTCAATTCTTTAGCCAGCTTTTTTTTCCCCACAGGGAATCAACATTTTTGACTTCCTGGTTCTTACTTCCAGGACCATGAATGGCGACTCAAACCCAACATCAGGAATTCTTTTTTATTATTAATTATTCTGGAAATGGTTGCTTTTCGGACTCGGCCATTCAAAAATCTCATATTATTATTTACAGTGCCAGAAGATTTGTGGCGACACTAAAAGCAGCCACATTTGTCAAACAAAGCTAAGATATGGCTCTGCTGCATTTGGATACGTTCTTGGTGAGCTTCCAAAATGAGAAGATCTTTTGAGACTCTTCTGAACATGATTTTTTCCCCTTCCAGCAGTCTGTCCAAAAGGAGAAGGAGGAGAAGTCACTGAGAAGTGGGGAGAACTGTAGCCAGAAGAATGGACATCTCCACCGACTTTTAGCATGGGTTCCACCAATGCTTCAGCCCCGTCCACCACTGTGTCCCACCCACCATCTCATCTCCCTACTGGAAAAAAAATTATCCATCCCACATCATGAATGATCCTTCTCTGTCATACCCAATTCCCACCTTTTTGATTCAGGTGTCTCCCCCAAAAAAAGAAGAAGGCCAGATCTAAGATCTAAGAGCTATACACAATATCAACTAGATGGTGAGAAAGCCGCCTTATTCCTCAAATCAAAAATTTCACCCCTCTTGTTTGTGAGAAGCTCTTCCAGACTGCTGCGAATACAAGACTCTCTCTTCTATGGCCATGAATTTTGCCCCTCTTATTTGTAAGTTCTTCCACCCTGCTGTGGACACAAGACCTTCTTCCCTTGTATCAGAAGATACACCAACCCAGCTACACCAAAGCTATGGAAAAGTTTTGGAGCCGATACAGTTGAGTTCATACAGTTACTCTTCCATTCAACAGGCCCTGATGTTTACCCAAAAAAAACATCTGGCAGCAAGTTTTGAAGACTATTTAAGAGGTGGGGGTCTTGTGCAAACCTGGCTCACAGATTTATCTTCCACGCAAGTAAGTATCTGCAAGGGAGGACTTTGAAGCTGTCTCCCAAGATAAACCAGTCTGAAAATGTTTGGGAGTCAAGTAACAATCAGACTTGTTTGGACAGGAATGTTCGACAAAAGTATTTGCATTCACCTCCCCGTGCAGCGGAATTTGGTGGCACTGTATGAAACCATTTCAGCACGTTCTTCTTGTGTTTTATCAGAGATGTCAGGTTTTTGTTATCACTTTTGGCTTTGGCGCAGACGATATTAAAGGAAGATTAGGATCTTGATCTCTCGCTCGCTCGCTCACTCACACATACACAAGTGCAGACACAATGGGAAGAAGGTATTGGGTTCACTAAAGAGTCAGGATTTCTATCCATACCATGGGGTAGAGGGAATCGTCCTCATTTTGATTGAATTTTTGTTTATTTTTTATTTTGATTCCTATAACTAGTTGGGCTGAGAGAGAGAGAGAGTGACTGACCTAAGGTCATACAATCAGCTTTAATGCCCAAGGTGGGACTAGAACTCACCATCTCCTGGTGGTTGGCCCAACTGCCTTTCATGAATAGGCGGAACTAGAACTCACAGTCGCCTAGTAATTGGTTCAAAGTCACCCAGCTGGCTTTCATGGCTAAGGCAGGACTAGAACTCCCAGTCTGCTGGTGATGGGTCCAAAGTCACCCAATTGGCTTTCATGAATAGGCTGAACTAGAACTCACAATCTTCAGGTAATTGGTTCAAAGTCACCCAGCTGGCTTTCATGCCTAAAGCAGGACTAGAATTCACCATCTCCTGGTGATTGGCCCAGGATGCAAATGCCAGAGGGACAAAAAAAACACCACCAAATTGGGGGTCACCAATGGCCCATCTTTCACTTACCCTAAACTCCCAATAACTATTTTTAGGCACAAGGGAATAATTTCTGCCAAGCCAGCAACCCTATACTGGTAACTTTACTTCAGTTATTATGGAGAATGGAAGACCAAGATGAAAAGATCCATCATTTGGTCAACTCTTAAAATGTATTGTGCTTTTCAGCGGTAGGCTAGCTTCCAAATTCTTGGCTTAAGTTATCTGCAGCTTAACTCTCAAAGTCAAGAGGGGGGGGGGGTTTGATGCAGAATCCTTTTTTTCTCACTCTTCATCCGTAGGACACTCTTTATTCCCAAGCCCACCCCCTCAAGAGTCCCACCAAATAATCTTCTCGTGCCGAGGAAATCTGACATTCATCTGCACAAAATGCAGGTGTGTTACACATACTCATGGGATCATAGAAATACAGTGGCCTTCCCCCACCTTAGATGCCTCAGAGGTTGGGGTGCCAACCCAGAATGGTAGTTTCCCAATATATTCGGATAATAGAGCCTTGGGAGAAGGCACACCAAAAGATCATTTGAGAAGTGAAACGGGTTCGATCAACAGAGAAAAGGAAGGGATGACAGATAAATAAGCAACACAAATGTCCTTGGCAAACTATTTCAATGGAACATGTAGTCAGGTTTAGAAGTCAGGTATGGTCAGGTCCAATTAAAGGCTTGAAAAAAGAATGTCCATGAGATTAAAGAAGGAAATGTGTCCTCAAATAACTTTGGACATCTCCTACGCTTAGAGGGACGTGACTGTTGCAGAAACCAACAACGAGTAGTTAACTTTTATTATATGATAATAGTTGGCACCGTTTCTGCCTTTAATGTTCTTTTCAGAAGATTTTATGAGGCAGGTGAGGCTGACTGCACACTCCCATTACCACAACTTCTCCTCTGAATTCCTCAAAAGCAAGTTAAGCCAAGGTGGTTCTTTTCATTTGCATTGATCCCATTGTTTGGTGGAACCTCAAGAGTTGAACTTCTAGGGTGGCAGAAGAGTCAGATGGTGGGGTGAAGCCAAGAGTTCCAGCCAAGGAGCTAGCCACAAGCTCTTCACAACCTGAACAAAATCCCCAGCTCTTATGTGGTATAAAATAGACCACAATTGATATGTACCTCCAGAACAAAGATGGTATTATAAGCCTAGATGAATCTACATCTGATTCTGTCCTGTTGCAAAAACGTGCATGAAGGGCCCTATAAGACACCACAACCCTCATACCAAGATCCTAATCTGATGTTCCAAACTAGCCTTCTCCAAAGCAATTGCCTTGATCTGCAGGTTCCAAAATTATGAGAGTTGGTGCTGATACATCTGGAAAGCATCCCAGTTGCTTTAAATACTACAACACACTTAGGAGAAATTGAAAGGAGAATGAATGATCAAAATATGGACGTGGAAAGTCATCGCTGCATGACAGAGCATCTATTTTAAATTGACCATGTTCAATTCTTGACCATTATTCAGCCTGGAGAAATTCCTACCTAAAATTCAAGAGAACCTATGTCAGGTAGTGTTGACACTGATGTGCTGGATAAACCAAGAACGACTTGTAAGCCAGTAAAATCTCCCCTCAAAAATGTGGAGATCCATAGCCGGAGGGCCTAGACTTATGATGTTTAATTACCGCCATTTAATACATACTATCTTCTTGAAAGACTTAAAAAATACACACGATGATTGCACCTTTCCGTCAGCACTGTGACAATGCAGCCTCTATTCATAATTTTTTTTCCCCCTTTCTGTTTTTTTTTTTTGCAAAAGCCGGGAACAAAATGAGAACACGCCACAACCTGTTGGATTGGCTTTCGCTGTCTCTCGCTTTGTAGAGAACAAACTCAATGGCAAGCTTTCAAATAATGGCACCTGAAACAACCACACGGATCAAAGAAGCACGAGAAAAAAGGCAGAAAACCTGGCATTCGCATCACATATCGTTCATATCGCATCAGAGGAATGACAACGAAGTCTTTGGGCTTGGTTTCCAAGTCGTCAGACGATTCCAAAGATGGACAAGGATGACAATATCTTTCCCTTGATCGTTCTCGCTTTTGTGACCGGCAGCCCCGTTGAAGGTTGTCCTTGGCTTAAAAACCATTCATTTAGCAACCGTTCAAAATTAGGCCCTGGAAAACAAGTGAGCTACAACTGGGTCCTCATATTTACAACCATTGTAGTACCCTCGTGGTCACATGATCAAAAATCGTGGCTTTGGGGAAATGGCACGTATTTACAATACTTGCAGACTCTGGAGAAGATCATAACCAAGGAAACCAACAAATGAATCAATCAAGAACAAATCAATACAAAATCTACATTCCAAGTACGATTGACCAGGTTCTGATTATTGTATTCTCAACATATTACATGAAGAGGAAGAGGGGGGAGGCGGGGGAGGGGGAGGGAGAAGGAAGGAAGGGAGGGAGGGAAAGAGGGAAGGAGGGAGAAAAGAAAGGAGGGAGGGAGGGAGGGAAGAAGGGAGGGAAGAAGGAAGGAAGGAAGGAAGGAAGGAAGGAAGGAAGGAAGGAAGGAAAGAAGGGAGGGAGGAAAGAAAGAAAGAAAGAAGGGAGGAAGGAAGGAAGGAAGGAAGGAAGGAAGGAAGGAAGGAAGGAAGGAAGGAAGGAAGGAAGGAGATAATTAGCGACAAGGTGGATGAATTCAATTACCATGATGATGGGGGTACCATTGGGAGTAAATCAGGAAAAATTGATCGATGTGGATCAACCCTGGCTCGTTGGCATATAATCAATCAAAACAACATTATGCAGAGAACAGAACAGAAAAGCAGTCACGAAGACTAAGCCAAAGGAATTAAACCACAAAATAAGAGAAGGAAACAGCAAAAACTGGTCTGAATCAATACTATCCCCCATGTCGCCCTAATTTTCTATCCTTCCAAATCATGCTTGAATCCCCAGATCTATACGCTATTTGATGCAGTATTTTCTTAATTCTTTCTTTTTTTAAAAAAAAATCACCCTCTTCCTTTTTGAGATCGTTTTAACTTCATCAGCCACACTTCCCGCCCCCCCTACATTTGTCCTG